TGGACCACTGGATTCTGATGCTGATACTGAGACTGAGTGAAGGCCATATGATCAGTGATGAAGAAAAACAACTAACTCCATGTACCCGCGGCTTCGGAGGGGACCAGCATCAGGAGGCGATCACAACTTATCTACACAAGGAAATACGTCTGGTTTAAAAAAAAAAAAATCCTTTCAGCACCTTTTGAGTTTGATCTTCCAAAATATTTTGTGTCCCAGCAGCCCTGGAGGTAAACTTCCAAAATACCAAAACATAAGAGATCAACTCCCTCCATGAAAATAGGAATCCCCCCAAGTCCACAGGAGCCTGGGAATATCGGTCTTCTCAGCGTCACAATTGAAACCAGTTTGCAGACCACTGCCCACACCCATCTCCCAACCTAATTACTCGATTTACCTCCTGGAAGTCCTCTAGATCGTTATATTTGTTTCATTTTACAAGTTCATCCAACTGAGTAAATAAACCACATTAAATCATCCCCATGCCTTTTTTACAACCCATTACAATTGTTAAACTTTCAAACCCACCCTACCAATCTGGTTCTTGCCAGAGCCCCCCAACCTCCTTAACCCCCCTCCCCAGCTCTTGATTCCCACCCCTAACTGTGCTCCAGCACACTGGCCTTTTTGTCCCCAGCTCAGATTAGACTGTTCTTTCTCCAGTGCCCTTTAAGTCCACCCATCTAAAAACACCCCCCTACTCCAACCCTACCTTCGAACTCTATCCCATGACTCCATGTTGTTTTTCAAAATATTTACAACTTGAAGTCCAACTTGTTCATATTCTGCCTTCCTCCCACCCACTGTACCACACAAATACAAGGACCTTTTCTTATTCCCTTTGTCCTCAGTGTTAGAACTGCACCTGGCACAGGGTAGGCACTTAAATTTATCTGTTGACTAAGTGAACAAATGGATAAATGAATGCATTTGTTAACCTCTTTAGTAGTAGTTACCTACTACTAAAAACAAGCACCTTTACTCTTATCAGCTAAGTACACTTTCCAAACTCCCTCACTAGAAAAAGTAGGTACCCAAAAGCCAGGAGGAAATCTATGCTACAGCTTTTCACCACCAGGATTACCAGCTTGACAAATGCTGTAAAATCAACCTTTAAGTATGAAGATTTATAGCTTGAGTGTCTCCATACCAATGTTCTCTAACAAACATATTTTACCGGTTAAAAATACCATATTAAAGGAGCTTAATGTTTGTCCCTTAAAAACCAATACTTCACCCTGGCTGGTGTGGCTCTGAACTGAGTGCTGGCCTGCAAACCAAAGGGTCGCTGGTTCGACTCCCAGTCAGGGCACATGCCTGGGTTGCAGGCCAGGTCCCCAGTTGGGGACACGTGAGAGGCAACCACTTGTTTCTCTCCCTCTCTTCCTCCCTCACTTTCCCTCTAAAAATAAATAAAATCTCTTTAAGAATTTTTTTAACAAAAAGTTTATTTTATTTTCCATGAAAGGTTTTTCCTTTATTTAAAGACACCTACTCCAAATCCTCTACCTTACAATGCCAACTATAGAAAATGGAATTGAATGGGATGTTTTCAAAGTACCTTGTCTGGAACACTTGTAGATGCCTTTTTGCTGATTCTTAATTTGATTATCAGGTTACCAAGCCCTAAAAGGTAAACTTATTTGTCCTAAGTCATCTAGAAAGCTGATTTCTGTCAAGAGTCAAGCATAAATATATATATTCTGGCTGGAGCTCTTTCAGAGATGAAAGAGCCTGGACCCTGGACTTAGGGGAATGAGGGACAAATCTAAATTTAGGAAGGGAAACACTGGTGCCAGTGAAAGACACTCAAATATGAATAAGCAATCTGTGTGAATTTCATACCCTTCAGGGTGAATAGTTTATACACCTAATAAATAACTCTGGTTCCTGGCCCAGAAATGAATTACTAGTCTTATAAAGCCTTAAATTAAAAACCAGTATTCTCTAACGAGGTTCAGAAGGAGCCACTAGGTCAGTTAAGCAAGCTTCTTATGCCTCCAATCCCATTCCCAGCTACATGCTCTTAACTTCTCCTTACTGTCTTTGCAGACTCATTACCTTTCTTTCCCATACCCAGGAGAATATGATCCCAAGACACTGAACAGTGAGTGTTGTCTGAGACTGGAGGTGGCTGAAACTGGTACCATGCATTACAAAATGCCCTGCCTTCAGTTACTCCTATGTACCAAAGTCCTATGCTCAGCTGTGTGCTCTAGCAGGCCATCCCAATCTCCCTGGAGTGTTCTCATTTCTATGAGATGGCTAGCATGTAATGATCAGTGACTGTGTATACACATTGTGTGTGTGTGTGTGTGTCCCTTCACTTGTCACATGTTCTCGCTTGATCCTTCCAACAGTAGTATTATCATGATTACAAGCCCTGAATGGTTCAAAATGGCTGGTTCAATTCCTTGATTCACTCCTTTCTAACCATGCGACCTCAAGAAAAGCTACTAACCTACAGCCTACCCATTTATAAAAAAGGTTTAGGAATACCTAAAACATTTGGGTTACAATGAAGATTAAGTTAATATATGAAAAGCACTTTTAACAATGCTTAACACGTTCAATAAATGTTAGCCATTATCCCTATTTAGTAGATGAAAAACTGAAGTAGAACCAGGATTCAAACTCAGGAAACCTCATTTTAGAGCCAGCACCCCTCAGTCAGTCTCTCTGTACCTAGTTTCCAAATCTAATCCTAACTCCAGAAAGTTTTCTCTAATTACCTGGACTGTGCCGTCTTCTCCTTTCCTACCTATCACTTCCCTAACATTGCTCGTTACTGTAACTAGTTCATTAATGTAGGTCCTTCCTCCCCAGGCTATCAATTCCTTGAGATCAGCCCAAAGGCTCAGTTACCTAAATACTGTTATTTCCAGCACTATGGACACAATACTTCAAATGATTTAGAGCTAGACGTGAAGAAGTCATTTAATAACTTTTCCGGAGAACTCCGGGTTCCCTCCTTTACAACCTTTTTAAAGGTACCTATAGAATTCAGATGAATATAACCTATCCGCCTGCCATCCATCTTCTTTATTACACATGCTACATAGCACACTAGTCCATAAATCTAGTAAATTTTCAATATAACCTCAGCCAACCCACGTTGTAGTCAGCTAACTTGGCTTGATAGAACAAAATGATCGAAGAACGATGTGTCATGTGCATGGACTTCCGCATAGTTTAACTGACAGTCACGAGTACAAAGGTCACCTGCCATACAGGTTGACCAGTCACAGTCCCATTACCTCCAGTAAAAGGAAGGAATGGGGCCCCAGGCCTACCCCAGGCAAAATTTGAAGTAAGGTCTAAACCTCTAGCAGGCAGAGGCTGGAAGCCTCTACGTGGTCTTGTTCCAGGAATAAATCATCCACAACTTCTCCAAGGAATGAAGGCCAAGTTGTAGAGGTGATATATGCAAAAGTGCAAGAATCTAAAGGATACTGGGAGCCCACATTTCCCGCGCGCTTTCCCAAAACAAATGTATGTCCTCCCATTCACTCAACCCAACCATCTCCAAGTTATAGGACCCTGAAAATCAGAAATCCACAAAAAGCGAAGCATGAGTGGCTATAGGATTAACACAGGTGGCATAATTTAAGAGTAGAGGGAATTTTAAAACAATCTGCAAGAAAGAGGAAAGTGATCAACAATTTAGCTTTGTAGCTCCTCCTGGCTTGAACGATGAGAAGCCTGGGGGCTGAGGCAGCAAGGGCGTCAGCACCTAAAGACGACATGCAGAGTGATCATCTAGGCCAGGTCACACTGAAGAACTCGGGTTACAATGTGGAACATCAGCACTGGCCCCAAGAGCACATTAGGCTGTTTTTCACAGGAGCCCTCACTGGAGAGAAAGGAAGAGGACAGAAAGCCACACTGACAAACACTACAAATACACAGGCCTGCAATCAACCAACACTGCGTTCTCCCAGGTAGTAAAGAGAGCTAACCTGTCAGGTTGGCCCTCAGATCACCCGCCCTCACTCCTGAAAAGGGCCAAGAACCCTTTCGAACTTCCCCTCCCAGTCCTGCGAAGAAATGAAAAGGAGCAGCGAAGCGCCTGAAGGCAAAGCAGTGAGCAGAAAGAAAAAAAGCTATGATCCCAGTGCCCCGAGACCCCCCCGGTAAGCATCCACGAGAGTGTATGGTTATAAAGACCATCCATATGCTTTTCCCCCACTGCGCAGAGAGAACACCTGCGACAAACTACTCTGTCACAGGCAGATTCACAAGCCAGTAAAGGAGGCAGAAGACAACCCACCTGAATTCCATTTGACACACACACGTCCCGAAAATCGCCTTACCCAAAGGAACATCAGTAGGTGGTCGTTCTGTTATCACCCTGCCCAACCAGTCTTCTTCCGTTCACCCAGCATTACACCCAAGCCTCCCATGTTGTCCCCAGCTGGAACTCTTGTTCACCCAGGTCCTCTCAACCTCCAGCCCCTGAATAAAAGTAGACAGGGTCTTCAATTCCTCACCCTATCCCAGCACCCCTCCTTGGTTATACTTGCACCTCAGCCCATTCCCAGTCTATCGTAACAGCTTCAAATATTAACCCAGCAAGAAAATATCTGGAAACTCTAACAAATGGAATAGGGAAAGTGAGTCTCAGGTGGCCATGATGGTAGCAGATGGGCAGGACGCAGGAAGGACGCTCCATGGCGATGTTCAACAGGCGAAATATCGGTTCTGTGACCAGACTCTCCCATACTGTCTTCCAACCATCCCCGCCCCTCCTCGCTCCAACCACAGGGCGGAATCAGACACCGACATCACCCCCCGTCCCACCACTGGTTCCTCTCCAGGCCCCAGCCCCAGCACTCACTCGAGCCCATGGCCTGAAGGATCCACTAGCCCTGTAAGCACCAAAGCAAGCCCACTCCCCACTTCTCACTTGAGAAGCCAAACCCCAGAACCAAGCTGCTGGAGCACAGGTTGTTTCTCAACTGGAAACAAGTCAAGAAAACCAGTCAAGCACAGGCACAGGACAATGGGCAATAAATTTACTGTATTGGGTTGTGATTAACTCAAGTCGAGGGCTGAAGCAGCCCAAGCAACTTGATCTGGACTCTCCATTCCTCAAGATGGCAGACTAGCAGGCCGATGATGAGCTACATCCTCCTGGGCAGCACGGCAAGCATTCTAATTTCCACGTTCAATCCCCTTTCCTCATCTGCCATGGGTTCTCTGGTTGCCTTCCATTGGGCTGTCACGTCTTCCTGGATGTCAAACTGGCTCCTCTGAAACTGAGTGCAATCAAGACAATGACAACCAGGTTTCCAAACTGCAAATTGCCCCAAGTTTTATTTGTAGTCCATACAAAAGGGAAAAAAATTAAGGTTTTCTAACACCACCTACTTGGGGATATAGGGAAGTGGGACTGTGCCACTCAGCATCAGCTAGAACATCAGGAGTCAGTAGGAATTTGAACACATACCAACTGACTGTCCCAACAGGAATTCAGTCTCAACACAGTCTAGAGGGGCAGTCAGAGCCCTGGACTGCTGGCACAGCTTGGCGCATAGGAAATGGTTAAGCTAACCCTTTCCTGGCCTCCCTCATATCTAAAAAGAAAAAGGCGCCGGCGACCTCAGCTGCAGGTTGCTTCCCCATCCAGACGACCTTAAATATCGCGCACAAAAATAAAAGGGAGCCAGGGAAAAATAAAAACGTAAAAGAAATTCCCATCCTGGGGAGACGGGAGGCAGGGGAGAGGGGAAACCGCAGATCTAGAGCCAGTAGCAAGATTTGCTGCTGAGGCGAAGGAACAAAGTAGGTTACTGCCGAACACTCAAATGGATCGTCTCCCGGGGAAGGCCCGCATGGTAGAAGGGATGAAAAAACCACACACAGGAGAGGTATGGGCCAGTGGTTATAACCTGGGTCTGCACCCAACCCACTTGTCTCCTCCCCACCCTGTGGTGCCCAATCCCAGGTTGCCCCTACATGCGGCGCTGGTAGCCAGAGTGCATCTGAGCTGCCCGCAGGTAATCATTATAGGAGCCCGAATAGCGTGCGTAATCGGAATGGGCATCGGGCAGGCGACGGTAATCCAGCGAGGACTTTGTCGGCGAGCGGCGGAACGAAAGCTGCGACTCTGATAAACGGCGGTAATCAGAGAGCTCGGCTAAACGCCGGTCGGAACCATACCTAGTCGAGAGAAGAAGACAGTTGGTGAATGAGACAATTGAGGAGAGGGCTCCAGGTGGGCATGGGGGAGATGCCAATGGGGATAGGGAGGGTGTGATCAGACTGGTCTCCAACACACGAGATTTTGTCAGAAGGCTCATCACCCTATCCAGGGCAAGAAATCAAGCCTGGTTCAACTCAGTGGGAAACCAAGCCCGTTACTGAAGCCCTCCTTTCTGAACTGGTCAAGGTGGATTTTAGTCTGCATTCCCAAACCACAAACTATTCCCTCCCCTGGGCCCTGCAGAGAAAGACCGTGGTTGTTTATCAACAGAACGGCGGACAAAAGCAAGGTCCCCAACTTCCCAAAGTGGACGCACCTCGAGTACGTTGCCTTCAGCCAATGAGTGCCAAAGGGACTACTCTCTCACACCTACCCCCCACCAAAGCCAGGACAACCACGTAACAGGTTTAAGATTCCTACAGACGGTGGGAAAAGCTATGGGCCACGATCTTGCAGGCGGTAGCTCCAATAGCAGTTGGGCTCGCCCAAACGGGTCACGCTTTTCCCAGCCTGACTAGCTGGTACCACCCCAGTCTGAGCACTATGCTCCACCTGAACCCTGGTGACCAGGGAAGTTCACACACATCATCCCCCTCAGCCTTTGGACATCCCACGGGAGTAGAGAAGACCAAGGGAGGGGCCAATGGCTCCAGTTTCCCTCCCATGCCAACCTCAGCCCCTTGCCCTAAGCCCCAGCTTGGGGCAGAGGCGGGGGGGCATACAGTACCTTTTTGACATGGCGACAGCCTTTTTGTAGGGATCGTCGTAGCTGGCCCGGGGTGGGGAGAGGCGGGTACGCTCATAGGGCGGCGGGGTGCTGTTGGCGTTGGCAACGGCCCCCTGGGACATGGACAGGTAGGCTGCAGACGGCTGACCTGCCCCATCGTAGGCATTGCCCGGCTGGCCACGGTAGGAGGCAGCAGCCTGGGGATGCTGCTGCGCAGCATAAGAAGCAGCCAATGAAGCTGACTGAGTGCGGTAAGGAGCTGCCAGGGTGGCAGAAGGCTGGGCGCCGTAGGCAGCTGCAGCGCCGTAAGAGCCAGTGGCCGCAGCGGCTGACTGAGCCCCATAGGAGCCTGACAGGCCCATTGATGCTTGAGCCCCATAATTATTCAGCTGGGTCTGAACAACCGGCTGGGCGCCATAGGACCCAGCCATTGGAGTAGTGGCTTGTGCAGCGTAGGCAGCTGGCTGGCCGGCATAGGCAGCAGCTGCAGCCGGCTGTGCCACATAGGCAGCAGGCTGGGAAGAGTAGGAAGCAGCCTGTTGTGCAGCATATGGGGCAGACTGGGCATTATAAGAGGCTGAGGGCTGGGCATTGTAAGAAGCTGCCTGGGCCCCATAAGCCAGTGAGGAGGCTGCTCCTTGGGCCCCATAGGAGGCTGCCTGGGCCCCATAGGAACCTAAGGAAGAAGCTGCTCCCTGGGCATTGTAGGAAGCAGCCGCACGAACCCCATAGGACGAAGCAGCCTGCGCACCATAAGAGGATGGTTGGTTACCATAGGAGGCCAGGGAGGAGCCCTGAGCCCCATAGGAGTTGAGCGAGGAAGCCGCACCTGGCTGACCCCCATAGGAGGAAAGGGCCGAGGCTGAGGGCTGGGCTCCACCATATGGCCCGAGCGAGGAAGCTGCGGCAGACTGGGAGCTAGGGCTGGCCAACTGGCCCCTGTACGGAGCCCCGAGGGAGACAGAGGGCTGAGCGCGATAAGAGGCTGCCTGGGCTGCCATGGGCTGAGTCCGATAGCCAACACCCAAAGAGGCAGAAGGCTGGGCCCTATAGGCAGCTCCCAGCGACACTGAGGGCTGGGCCCTGTAGGTGGCTGGCTGGGCCGTCAGAGGAGCCACATAAGAGGCTCTAGGAGGGGAACGGCGCAGGGGGCTGCGGTCGCGACCAAAGAAAGGTGGTGTGGGCTGACGGGCTTGCCCATCAAAGCCACCAGTGCTGTTGCCAAAAGCCTGCTGGTAGTCGAAAGTGGCAGAGAAGCCACCAGCTCCAGGGAATGCTGTATCCCCAGCCCCTGGTTTCTTGGTCTTGTCCCCAGACTGGATAGCCAGGCCAGGCCCCTTCTTCTGACCCTTGGTTGAGAGTTCCACGTTGATGCGCTTGCCCTTCACTTCTTTGCCGTTGAGCTGCGCGATGGCGGCTTTGGCATCTGCTTCCTTCTCCATGTGAACAAACGCGTAGTCTGATAAAGCAGCAGACAGAGGGTTAGCAATTAGGGGGGCAGGGCATGCTACCCAACGGGTCCCAAATTGGATACACCAACAGCACCCAGCTGTTGCCAACTACCTCCAGGCCTCCAAACCCTTCTCTCCAGGAGTTATGTCATAAAATGTGGCTTCCATATAACAAAGTTTCTGGCTGTCCCAAGAAGCCACCTTTGCCTGTGGCCTTCTCCCCATTCTCCCCTTTCCCCCTGCCACCTCACCCAACTTCCTGGTGAGAGAAGAAAGAGCAAAGATGAACTGCAACACAGGATAAAAATCTTCACAGCTCCTGTAAGTATAAACCAGCAGAAAAAAACGCAGAAAGAGTGCCTGGATCACTTAATTATTCAGTATTCTCTAATCTAACGTCACCAAAAACTACTGCTCACCTTTGAGGCTTAACTCTCAAACCCTGGAAACGACCACTACTTACATCTTGGCATAACCCCTGTCTCAGCCTAGGGTCCAATTAAGGCAAGAGCACTAGACTGCATGCGCAGAGCATAAAACTCCTCCCCTTTTCACACAGTACTTCCCTGTGTCCAAAGCACTTTCATGCACAGGACCTCACTGGACTCCACAACAACCCTGTGAAGGAGGCAGAGCAAAGGATCATTCTCTCATTTTAAAGGTGGGCAAACATGCTCAGAATTTATACGGCCTGCCCCAAATCAAAATGTGCTAGAGCCATTAACAGAAATCCCAGCTCTCCATGCCCTTCACTACACCAAGTCTGCCCCCAAGAAGTCAATGTGTAAGGCAGAACTATGTAATATGACTAGAAAGGGGAGAAGTTGGACCCCAAGTAAACCAACCGGGTGTTGGAATGCAAACTAGGCCTCCTGGCTGAGTTCAGGCCCAAGTCTCCTCCCACAGGCTACATTACATCCTCTACCAGTTCCTCTTTAAGGGGCAAAGGTATACCTTACCCCTTGGGCTCCTGTTCACAGAGCAAACCATTTACAGGAAAGATTTGTTTTCTCAGCTTCAAGGTGAGAAGCTGCAATTACTGCAGCAAGCAAGCTCTGCTAAACAGGTTACCCCTGAGGTCCTCATTCAGGATCTGAATGAGCTATAGTGGGAGGACAGGCTCTAAGACAGGATGTGGATCTCAAAGACCTATGCATCTACCACATAGAAAGAAAACTTTAGGACGGGGAGGAATGGGAAGAAATTCTTGTTCTCATCCAAACTTACAAACCACAATGGTACAAGGAGGATATGAAGACAAGTGATAATAAGATCATCCTCATGGGAAACAAGGCCATGCACTTCACCTCATCTAGACCTGTGGCCACCTTAAGATACAGTCCAAGGACCAGGACCCCATCTCTCTCACATCAGTTCAGGAAATGAACGAACTGGATGAAATTACTAAGGTCCATTCCCAAAGACAACAATTCCTTTTAAATGGGCTCTAATAAGTATCCTGATTTCTAGAAACTTTCATACTGGGATGCCCTCTCTTGCTGGTCCTATAGAGCAAGTCATTCTCCTGGATCTAAGGCAATGCCACCAACCAGCTCCCATGAGAATAAAAATATAACCAACAGGTTTAAGTCAGAAGTATAGTACCGAACAAGGAATCTTTGGCTAAAGCTTAAAAGGCTTCAGTTACAGATCCAGATTATCACTGACTTGCTGTAAGCTCTGGAGGAACTTAAAATTTATTTCTCCCTCTGACAAATTTGTCCTACCCACCTCAGAGTTAGGAGATTCAAATAAGAAGATAAAAGTGCCTGGCAAAGTAAAAGTAATTATATAATGATAAAGAATTATTATTCAAGCCTAGGAATAACTATAAGCTTATTTCCCTACAGAATATTATCTGTCATCTTTAATCAAACACCACAGATACAATGCCACAGCCCTAGCCAGGTAGCTCAGTTGGTTAGAGCATTATCCCCAATCCGTTTAAGTTCGATCCCTGGTCAGGAAACATACAAAAATCAACAAATAAGTGAACAACAAACCAATGTTTTTCTCTCTCTCCCTCCCTCCTTCCTTCTCTATCTCTAAAATCAACGAATAAAAAAAAATTTTTTTTTAAAGATACACAATGCCATCTGTATGTGCAAACCTGGAACCAGCCAGAGACAATAAAAGGACAAAATGAACTAGCAGAACTCTCAGTCCTCACATCCTCATGGCCAGAACCTGATTCCTTATCTACCAAGTGTGAAACGCAAAAGGATTCCTTTTGGCCTGGATACAGAGCACTAGAGCTGTCCTCTCATCTCTCACCTCCACTTTTGATAGAGTGAGCTAAAAATAGATGCTGGTGGTGGGAGATCTCTTTAAAAGAAGAGGCTGACCCGACCCTCAGAAGAATGGAAAAGCCACCAGAATGCAATGGCAATCAGAAAGCAGCAGCTTGTAGGCAGATTAAGGGGAATGGAAAAAACCTCCAGGCAATTGAGAGAGTAGAAAAGTATTCTATATTCCCGGCACACCTGAAACTAGAATGACCTAGAGGGAAAAAAAGCCCAACAAAAAATATTTTCACGGGTTTACAAAAGCAACAGGACATCCCACTGTCTACTCCCTACTCGGTTGAGTTTTATTAAGAGACCAAGTTGAGAAAGAAGTTTGAGAATTGAGATTTCACGTGTACAACGCAGTTGACTGCCCACCTGAACTATATGCCTGATTTTTTTAAGCCACCTGCTACAATTTTAACCAGTTTAAAATAAGAAATTTCCTAAGCCTAATATTGGAGGGAATAGGCTATTCAGACTCAATCCAAACAGGCTAACCAATCCTATCAGTGAACAGCCAAACACAGACCTAACCCTATCAAAGATTCCCAGAAACCAACTACTCCTAGGGCAGTGAAGACAATAAACAGAGACCTAGAGAACTCCAGGGACCCCTCTAATCTGGAGAGGTAGTATAAGGAGCAGTGTGACCGCTAAAAAAAAAAAAAAAAAAATCACTGCATTTAATGGGACTAGCAAGCAATGTTTTACAGAGATCACCTAATGATCTGGTGGCATTATAATTCCTCCAACACCAAACTAAGAGAATCCAGAATAATGAGTTTTCCTATCCTGAAAAGAGTAAAAAACTAACTCGAAACTAGAGTTGTGTTGTATACAGGAGAAAAGAATGGCCACCCCCAAAAAGGGGAGGAAAAGGTTTCCTCTTCTGCCTTTCAGACCTTCCCTGAAGTTCAAACGGTTCCTAGCTGTAAGGGACTCTCCTATTTCATCTCTGAACACCCAACAGAATGTAGCTGTGGACAGTGGTTATAATGTGCTGTTGCTATGGAGATTTTTACTCTACAAGTCAAATCATATCTAAGCTCCTGGGGTAACCAAGCAACTATGTTTTTTTCCCCTGTGAAATAAAACAGAACCAGTTGTCCTGTGCCATGCCAAGTTTCTGTTCTTTTCCAAGGCCTGACAGCCAACACAAGACTCAGTAAAATGCCCATTCCCATCCCAAGAAATAAGCTACTTACAGAGCCAGAGCTAGTTTCTTCTACTATATTTCTAACTTAAAAACCTCACTTTCCTTCACCCCAAAGACACAGAAAGGTATCAGTGAAGGATATGATGCTGAGATCTTTCCCAGTCCCTTACAGCAAAGTGTATCAGAAATTACAAATCAGCAAGCTACAAACGGCTGACCACCACTTCCTGAGAAGTCAAGGCATTTTTACTCATCAAACATTTACGGAGGCACAAAACTTTTGCTCTATCACAAGGAGTCAGCCAACAGTTCTAAAAACCCCATACAGTTGTACATTTCACCCTGCCTCCCACTACCACTTAGTATCTGTCCCAAGCAAATTCAGGCATTTTTTGCTTTCCCTACCACCTAAAAGCAAGCTACTTGACTAAGGAGTTCTATAGAGACTGCCTCTGAAAATGCTAGTTTCTAGGCTCCAATCTAGTAGCCACCCTGCTTAAGAACCACGAAAGATACATAGCTCAATTAAACACAGAACTCTCATAATGAGCCATTACACCCCCATCCATTTCCTGGCCAGGTGCCCAATCTGAGGCCTTTCTCATTCTTTAACTCTGAACAAAAGCAAAAATCCATGCACCATACAGCCTGCCTCAGAGCACCCAGCAGGGAAGCCCGATTCCGGATAGTCGTGGACTTGCATAACCTGAGCTGAGGAAAACAGAATGCAGTATTAATGCAAAACAAGGAATTCATCCAGGAGTGGACACTACACACCCCTTTACACTTCTCCCAGTTGTGGAAAGGACAAGGTGGCCCAAAAGATGTGCCCCTCCGGGACAGCAAATGAAGTTATCTTGGTGGAAATAAATAAGCACCTGTGCTCACATTTATTTCCTAGCCTCAAAACTTCACACAGGATAGTGACCATGTATGAATCCAGTAGTACCAGGAGTCGGGCATCAGACACTCCCAGGCTGCATCCTCAAAGATGTCAGGGCAAAGTTAATTCTGATCCCAAGCGATACAGAGACTAGCCACATACACAGAGGCTGTCCCACCAAACCCTGGCAATATAAAATAATAGCTTAGGGAATAAGAACCCATACTATGAAAAAAAGAGGTCGGGCCTAAATTATGGTGATACATTTTTCTCAAAGTTTAAAAGGCAAACTAGGGATCTGCCCTGAGGATCAGGCTCATCAAGCAAAAACAACAAGTAAGTGTTTAATGAACGTCTAGGGAATTAAAGAAAACCCCTCACAGACTCCTTCCCATATTCCCCCTCAGCCACACAGTATGCCCCCTTGCAAAATCACCAAGCTTCAAAAGAATGGCAATGCCCTGGGGCACAGGTTTGGTAAGTAAAGTCTACGGAGAAGGAGCCTTCATAAAGTAAGCCTCCTTCCACACTCGAGAGGTCGGGATTTCCAAGTTCACAGATGCAAAATAGAGCCCAAAGAAAATAAACCCAAATTTGAAGGAGCTGGAAAGCGCAGATTTGCCACGCCTAAACCACCTAACAATATTAAAAGGCCAAAGTGGTTCAGAAGGGCCCCCTCCTGTACCCACGAGTAACTATACCCATGACTACACCCACGCCACGGAATAGTAAAAAAACCCCAGCCCAAGAAACGTCCAAGGGCCCCGTTACCTTCCGCTCGGGAGCATTCACCGGGAGGGAACACGAGGGTGGTCTTGGGGCGTCAGCCCCCACCTTTTCCCTCGTCCCTCGCTCTGACCGACGTCTGGGGAAGTGTAGAGATCTTCCCCGCTCCATGATCCGGCTCGTGCCCGTCACTTCCCAATTTCCGCTCGGTGCCAGGCCCAGGAGAACAGTGGAAGGCGCGCCCCCGGTACACTCGCGAGTCTCTCAGGCGCGTCCCCGGCCCCGTAGTTCGGCCAGCAGTGGCCGCCGCACCCACCCAGAGCCGCTTCCTCCCACTTGTGAATGGTGCCTGGACCGCAGGGGAGGAGGGTGGCTCTATCCATCGCGCCCCCAACAACTCGGACCACGCTCCCGCGGACTTCTCGCCACCCCCGCCCCCAACCGCGCGTTGACCGACCCCCGGGAAAGGGGAGTGGCTAACAAGCAGAGTGCCCCCGTGCGCGCGCCTTCGCGTTACCTTTCACCACGTCACACTCGATGACGCGTCCGCGCCGCTCGAAGAGGCTGCGCAACTCCTGGCTCGTGCAAGCAGCCGACACATTGCCCACGAAAATCTTCCAAGTGTTAAGAGGCCGTGGGCGCGACATCTCCACCACGAGCGCGCGCCCAGGCCGCAGCTCGTGGCCGTGCAGGGCCTCGATGGCGCGCACCGCGCCCGCGTTCTCGCGCATGTGCACGAAGGCGAACTGTTTCATGACGGCGCAGCTCATGACTGTGCCGTAGGGCGCGAAGAGGGCTGCCAGCTCCTCCGGCGTTGTATCCGCTCCATCGACGTTTCCCACGAATATCTTCATTTTACCGCCGCAACCGCCTTCCCGGAGGGCCGGGACCTCTCCTGAAGAAGCAGGCGAGACGTCCGGCCAGCCGGCAGTCCTCCCCAGGAATGGCTGGCGACGGAGAACCCCGCCGCGCAGGCGCTCTAATCTAGCCAATCAGGGCTCACATCCCGCGCGCCCTGCAGCCAACCAGAGAGCCTGAGAGAAGATGCATGCTGTCGCAGCCAATCCCAGAAGGCCTTGCGCCCGCTCGTTAGTAGTGGGGTGGGAGAGAGAAGACGGCGCGCCACCAACCGCCACTGCCGGAGTGGGGTGGGGAGGGAGAAGGAGGGGTGGGGAGGTGGGGAGGTGCTTTGGGAACGTCTGTAGTTGAGCGGCCTAGTCCGAGAGGCAGCCTCTGGCTCGAGTGAGGCGGTAATCGGTGGGCCCCAAGGAAAAACTTGGTTCATTTGGAAGGCAGGGCTTCTCCCATTCTGGCAGCTTAGGCCAAACAGGAGTCTTCAGGTGGCAGCAATAATGTCCAAGGGAAGGCCGGGCCTGGCAGGAAAAAAACAAAAAACGCTTTCACTCAGCAAAAGGCTCCCGGGACTCCCGCCTCCGGGACTGTGCAGAGCTGTCTGAGGGGATCTGAGAGGCGTCTGCCTAGGGAGAAAGCCTCGTGCCATTAGTTTCTTCTCTGGGAACACGTTCTCTGAGGGTGCTGAGGTCCTGGCAGACGCTGGAGACATGAAAAATACGAGCACGCCTCTGCCTTTATGGAATTTACAAACGAGGATTAATAAAATGTAGCTCTCGTGTGAGTTTGAAATATTGCAGATTAAAAAGTTTAATAAAATAAAAGATAAGGTCCAGAGAACGGTCCTTCAGGGGGCAAAAGTTGAGGGTTTCTTTTTTTTAAGATTTATGTTTAGAGAGAGGAGAAGAAAAGGAGGAAGAGAGGGATAGAAACAAATGTGTGGTTGCTTCTCACGTGCCCCCCCCCCCACAATTGGGGGCCTGGCCTGCAACCTAGGTGTGTGCCCTAGACTGGGAGTCGAACCAGCGACCCTCTGATTCACAGACTCGCACTCAACCCACTGAGCTAGGCCAGGGTGAAAGTTTAGTCTTTTAAAAAAATGAGAGGAAAATTTTCAAAACCAACAGATGTATGTAAATAAAGATCTTGCTGAGGGAAGACGTCAAAAACACAGGAGACAAACTTAGGGAAATATTTGCCTACAAGCTTATTCTACAAATTTTATTGAGGACCTACCATGTGGGCAGCATCAAGAATACAGCCCTGAACAAAAAGTGACAAAATTCCCCCCCTTCTTGGAGTTTATATTATGGTGAGGAGACAGATGAACAAGTAAAACATATAGCCTGTTGGTTAGTGCTAAAGACTCGAAGTAACCAAAGGAGCAAGCAAGTCATCCTCCGGAAGAATCATTCAGTCAGAAAGTACAACACAATTCAAAAAGTTTTGGGGAAAACTTGCTGGAGGAACTGCACGGAGCAGTGAGGCTGGAGGTGGGAAACCAAGCGAATCATAGAGCATCAGGACAGGGGTGGGGACTGGGGGCGGTGAGACCTTGTTGAATGACTTTGGCTTTCCCTCTTGGTGAGGCTGGAGGCCTAATAGGACTTTTCCTTCATTATTTCCTTAAGTATCCTTATGGCTGCTATTGAGATGGGAAAAACAATGTTGTCTGTGCCTTTCTGCCTTCAAGATGTTGAGGAGAGGATGTGCTGTGTCTTCCAGGGTGAAATCCCGGATTGCCCTTGGTCTTCCAGTCTTCTGGTCTCCCATTAAGAGCCCTCATCAGCTGTGCTGACGACAACAGACAACACAGGAGCCAGAAATCTGTATATCATCCCCGTGAAGGGGATCAAGGGACGACTGAACAGGCCTCCTGCTGCGGGTGCGGGTGACGTGGTGATGGGCACAGTCAAAAAAGGCAAACCAGAGCTCTGAAAGAAGGTTCGTCCAGCCGTAGTAATTCAACAACGAAAGTCATGCTGGAGGAAAGATGGTATGTTTCTTAACTTTGAAGGTAATGTGGGGGGTCATAGCAAAGGGTAAAGTGAAATGAAAGTTCCGCCATCCCAGAAGCAGTTGCAAAGGAGTGTGTAGGTTTGTGGCCCAGGATGGCATCCAGTGCTGGCAGCATTGCATGGTTGTCTGGTGCATTTGTAAAACAACAACAACAAAAAAATTAAAAAATTAGCCCTGGCTGGCGTAGCTCAGTGGATTGAGCGCGGGCTGCAAACCAAAGTGTCGCAGGTTCAATTCCCAGTCAGGGTACATGCCTGGGTTGCAGGCCATGACCCCCAGCAACCGCACATTGATGTTTCTCTCTCTCTCTCTCTCTCCCTCCCTTCCCTCTCTAAAAATAAATAAATAACATCTTTTAAAAAATTGAAAATTATTTCCTAACCCCCCCAAAAAAAAGAAATGGGGGAAAAAAAGAGCGAAAACAGTTGTTTGCTCTGAAAAATTACCATTACTGAAAACATACAGGAGAGAGATGATGGTGACATGAATGGGGCATGCCAATAGAATTCAGGGGAGGTGGTCAGATGTGACAGTAGAGTTGCAATTGGCTGTCAGTCGTGAAAGAGGGATTCAAGATGACGCAGAGCAGCTGGAAGCGTTCATTGAGATGTGGACTATTGCAGGAGAGAGTTTCTGCAGGAGACCAGAAATTCTGTTTTGGGCCTGCTAGGTCTGATAATGCGTCTAAGCCATCCAAGCGCAGATACCAATGACAATTAGATGTGTATCTGCAGTTCAGGGCAAACTCTGAGCTGCGGATCTAAAGTTGTGAGCATAAAGAGCTAATATCTATATTGTACAAAGAACTCTTATAAGTCGATATGGGGAAGAAAGATGAGATAAAGGAGCCAAGGTTATGAACTGGCAATTCTACAGGAAAAGAAGTACAAACGAGGCCCGTAATGCAATGTACCAATGACATAGTATAGAATTGTACATTTGAGACCTATATGATTTTATTAACCAGTGTCACCCCAATAAATTTACATTTTTTCAAAGATTTTATTTATTTACTTTTAGACAGAGGGAAAGAGAGAAAGACATCAGTCGGTTGCCTTTCACGTGGCCCCGACTAGGGACCCAGCCCACAACCCAGGCATGTGCCCCGACTTGGAATTGAACCAGCAACTCTTTAATTCACAGGCTGGCACTCTATCCACTGAGCCAAACCAGGCAGGGCAAATTTAATTTAATTTTTAAAAAGGGAGCACAAATTCCCAATAAACAAGAAACTCTATTGGTAGTTAGGGGAATGCAATTTCCTGAGAAAATGAGAACATTTTTCACCCCTCAGATTTGCAAAAATATTAGAAGATTTATATCTATTGCTGGTGAGGGTGTGAGAAAATACATTCACACATTGCTGATGATAGTGTAAATTCTGCATCCTTCTTGGGAAGTATTCTGGCAATATTGAAACTTTAAATGTGGTGAGTCTTTAACATAGTAATCCTACTGGAAGTCTAGCCTACAGAGAACTCATCAATAAAGATATTGGTATAAATTAACTGACTCTAGCACTGTTTGTAGTAGCAAGTAGTGAAAGTGATCTGAATGTCCATTAAGAGAATTAGGTATCACCTTATGAGAGAACATTTTATTGCTATTAACAATAGTTCAAAACCCCTGACAATGGGCAAGGAGACACTTGATAGGTTGCCCTATAATAGCCAGAGGCAAAGGAGACCCACAGTCCTTCGTTCATCCTACCTTGATGCCTGTGTTGGTGACCAGAGCTGTTTCATGCCTGGGGCACACTGGAAAAAAAAAAACACAGGTCAATGTTTATTGATATGGAATGATAACTGGAATGTGAGAGGGGAAAAAAACACACAATGTAATTGTATAATGTTATGTCCTTCTATGCCATAGGGGAAAAGCCCTTCAGAGATGTGCCTGTTTTTTCAGCATAGAGAAAAGCATTAATTACTCAAGGTGATGAGATGGGGCGTTCATTTTTTATTCATTTCCATGTCATTAGACTTTCAACAATGAGCATCTAATTCTTTTACAATTAAAAAATAAAGTATATTTTAAGAAAGAAAAGAGGGGCATTGCTCCGATACCAGTCTGATACCTTCTCAAGTCTGAACTGCTGACAGCATTCCCAGACTGAGCATCAGTGGGCCCTGAACCACTCGGTAAGCAAAACCATCTGAAAGGTGTCATGGGGGCAGTTCCACATCGGCTCCAGCTTGCTGGTAGGGGTCAGGGTCAGGGTCAGAACAGTGTGCAACAGAAATATGCTGTGAACCCCTGTGTGCACTTTAAAAAATAATTTAAAAATGTAATTATAGTGATATATTTTATTTAACCTAATGAATGTTTAAGAACTATCAGTTCATCATGTAATCAATATAAAAATTATTAATATATTCTTGTTGTAAGTCCTTGAAATTCTTTGCGTATGTGTTACAGCACATCTCAGTTTGGTCTAGCCACATTTCAGCTGTTTCGTAGCCACACGTGACCAATAGCTGCCATGCTGGCTAGTGTAGGTTTAACCTTCCTCTTGAAATGGCCCTCAGGTCTTGAAGAGACATCCTTTGGGAAAACGGAACTTCAATGTTGGTGATCCGTCTGATTTCTTAAAAGAACGCCATGTCATTTAGAACCAAGTGTGGGGAATGAGGGCAGGCAAGATCACATTCAGAAATATCCACCAGCAAATAGTGTCCAAGCTGCAAAGGATTCTTCAAGATAAGCCAGCCTGGCCAGTGTAGCTCAGCTGGCTGGAGGTCATCCCGTAAACCCCAAGACTGAGGGCTCAATTTCCAGTCAGGGTACATGCCTACCTAGGCTGCAGGTTCAGTGCCATTTGGGGCATGTCCAAGAGGCAACCAATTGATGTTTCTCTCTCACATCTCCCTCCCCATCTCTCTACGATCAATAAGCACGTCTTCAGGTGAGGATAAAAATAAGTAAGTTAATTTAAAGAAAAAAAAAAAGGTAAGTTGAGCCGGGCCAGGCCAGGCTAGCCCAGTCGCTGTACAGATGAGACGCGTCCAGAAGTGGAGAAGGGGAAGGAGTTGCCGGTCACCGAGCCGGCGGTAGAAAGGGGGCTACGTTGGTGCTCTGACCATTACCCCCGGGGAAGGGGCTACATCGTGATTTCCCAGCTGTGTGAATGTGAGCACAAGTCTTCACAGCTGTGGATATCACCTCCTTCACCTATAAAAATTACTGACCTTAGAAGATTTCTTTATTGGGATAAATATATATATTTATATATTTACACAGCCCTGACTGGTGGAGCTCAGTGGATTCAGCACGGGCCTGCAAACCAAAGGGTGGCCAGTTCGATTCCCAGTCAAAGAACCGATGGTATCCCAACTAGAATTTTATTAGCCACCTACTATCTGCCAGGCCTTCTAGTTTCTGAAACAACATTCAGTTAGAACCATAATGTTGTGTATGTGTTGAAAGAAAAAATAACAATCTCCTCTCTTGATTTTTACCATACCTCATACCCACAGTGGATCTGTTTCTCTGGTAATGATACTTTCCAGGAGGCTTTGCCTTTTTTTTTTTTAAGATTTTATTTGTTTTTATTTTTAGAGAGGAGAAGGGAGGAAGAAAAAGAGGGAGAGAAACATCAGTGTGTGGTTGCCTCTCACATGGCCCCCACTGAGAACCTGGCCTGCAACTCAGGCACATGCCCTGACTGGGAGTTTGGCAACCCTTTGGTTCGCAGCCCACGCTCAATCCACTGAGCTACGCCAGCCAGGGCTTCAGGAGGCTTTACTTTCCTCATATGGTAGCCCAGAGACATAACTTAGCCTATCGTGGCGGTGCCAAATGGAAAGACATTTCTAATAAAATAATATCTATCACATGAAATATCTATAATGAACTGTGTCTTCCGGTCAGCTAGGAATGCAGGCTGATACAGAGGTCTCGCACTGGCAACTCAAACAGGACTCCTGCTATTGCCATGGGCAACATCATTCTCCACGATGGTGAACAACTCTCAGTAACGGTCCAAACCGAACCAAGAACAGAAAAATTCATGGTCTGTTAAAATGGTACCAGAAATGCTTTGTTACTTACAAATAAAATAAGTAATAAATAAATTAAGTTGCAATTGTAAGTGTTTTTCACATTCAAGTATATCTAGTGCAACACTGGGAAGTTCTGCAGAAAATGGGACAGTTCTTCATTATGACAGACTATCCTGCACCTGGCAGGTCGGCAAGGCTCCCCAGCCTTTCCCCCACGCACGCCAGGAGCACCCCCCACCCCCACTGAGCACTGTCACAACCAAAAAAACTCCCTCACAAACCCCCACAAGTCCCCTGAGAGGTAGTAGCACCCCCACCGAGAACCAATGACCTAAACCAAATTTTGTAAACTTAGAGAGTAAACTTAATTTTGGTGTCGACATAAGAAATGTCCAAACCCATGAAAGTTTTTATGAGTTTGATTGGGCCAAACTGATGACAATTGCAGGGAAGCAAAATCTCAATGGATCGAGAAATTTTCTGGAGAAGGGCAGTTTAACACCTTATTTTCTACATTACAATCAAAGGAGGAGGCCTAAAGGGCTACGTGAAATTCATTGATACCCTGGGGGAGGGGGGAGAAAGCAAAAAAGCCCCTCTGAAATGGGATAAAAAGTAAAAGAAAGGAACAGACACATACTTCTTTTACAGAGGTGGAGTAGGGTCATTAACAGTTCGTTACCATAATAACCATAACAATGAGGGGCTCTGGGTTCTCCTGCTGGGGTGGGAGGTGGTGCCCTGGGGGTCTGGAAAAAGGAAATGACTCTGACTTCCAAAGGTGTGTTATCATAGATGCAAAAAGACAGTAAGGCAGGCTCCGTTAGGGCAAAGGCTGACCTTTGTCAAGGAGATGCAGGCCCGGGACATGACTGTGTCTACAAGCCATGACTTGCTCTTAGTTTTCACTTCAGACCGTCCTATGTGGCTACTTTTTCCAAATAAGGTAACACTGACAGCTTCCAGGGATTAGGACCTGATAACTTTGGGGATCAACCTATCATAGTCATCAAAATAAAAATTAAAAAGCAATCAGGAACAGTCTTTTCAGTGCACGGTTACCACTGATGTACATCATAAACACAGGGGCAGGATTCTTTCCTGCTGACGTTGATGGCAGTATTAACAGACAGTAAGACCCAGGGAACCCAAAGCATTCTCCTCCTTGCCTGAAAGCTGAGCTCCCTGCTATGGGCCCTCTGTTACAGTGCTTCCCTCCTCTAGGGTTTTAGGTATAATCTCTCTCTCTCTGGCTAAGAGAACTTAAGTAGATGACATACATGTATTTATTTATTTATAAAGATTTTATTTATTTTTAGAGAAGGGAAGGGAGGGAGGGAAACATCAGTGTGTGGTTGTCTCTCACTCAACCCCTACTGGGGACCTGCCCTGCAACCCAGGCATGTGCCCTGATTGGGAATTGAACCCGTGACCCTTTGGTTCACAGGATGGCACTCAATCCACTGAGCCACACCAGCCAGGCTGAACAATTTTTATTTTAATAGCTATGTATATTCTTTTTCTAGCAAACTTCTGTTTCTGACAAATGAATCTTGCTTTCCATACTTTACAGTGAGAACAATAGAGTGGTTAAAAGCAGACTTGGAGCCCTGGCTGACGTAGCTCAGTGGATTGAGCGCGGGCTGCAAACCAAAGTGTCGCAGGTTCGATTCCCAGTCGGGGCACATGCCTGAGTTGCAGGCCATGACCCCCCAGCAACTGCACATTGATGTTTCTCTCTCTCTTTCTCCTTCCCTTCCCTCTCTAAAAATAGATGAATAAAATCTTAAAAAAAAAAAAAAAAGAGCAGACTTGGAGCCAGACCACCTGGGCTATGTTACTGCGTGACCTAGGGCAAGTTACATAACCACTCTGTGCTTCCGTTTCCTTATCAGTAACATGGGATAATAATAGGATAGTCCAGAGGATTAAATGGATTACTGCATGTAAAGTGCTTAGAACAGAGCCTGGCACTTGACAATCACTATCTAGGTACAGTATTAGCTAATGTGCTTACAATTTCCTTTTTAAGTAAGTTTAAAAGTGAATCAATTGAAAGAAAAGTAGTTGGTGAACGATAGTACAGATGGTTCTCGGACATGGCACAAGTTGAGAGGCAACACAAAAATGTCTGAATTTGGCCAAGATTTCCAAGCCGTGGCCCCTGCAGCCCCAGGACCCGTCCACTTCTGCTTTACAGATGGGGCTTCGAGATGTTTGGACAGTATTTCTTGATGAAAAACAAAGTTTGCAAAAAAGCACACAGCTAAGAGTTTAGAAGAAAGAAAAGCTAATAGGACGTTGATTCCTCAGGGATCAAAGCAGAGCGGCAGAGGGCAGTGAGCAGCTGAGCCACGAAAGGGTTAAACCCGGCCATGCCTCCAGCAGGAAGGCCAGAGGAGGTCAGGGGTTGGCTGCGGGCAGAGTCCGAGAGCAGTTCCGGCAATGAGGCTGAGGGGGGTGGAAAACCTGGGCCCCAGCATTACAAAGGATTTGGTTCCCCAGGAAACAAGAGGAGCTGGAAAGCACCCAGCACAGGCTGGGCAGAAAGAGCAGGGGCGGAGGGCTGGGGGTCGAGGCACAGGCGGCGGCAGCCGGCAGGAGAACCAGGCAGGGCCCGCCCGGGGAGTGGGAGCGTGCCAGGCGCACCTCGGCCAAGGCCAGCGCACTGTAGAACCACCCACCCGCTCCGTGCAGGCAGCGTAAAGGGCACGCTCTGTACCCTGACAGCCCACCGTGTCCCGGGCCAGCAGCCCGTCGCAGTCCAGTGGGGGCAGGGGTGGGGGCAATCGGACGAGTGGAGAAGCCGGAACCCCTGGTCACTGGCCCTCCCCGTGAGTGGGCAGCTTGGCTGGGCTGCCTCCCGGGCCCGGTTGGGCCTCAGAGTCACAGCCACTGCTCCTTGAACCTACCGTGTGCCAGGCCCTGTGCCAAGCACTTCACTTGTTAGATTAATTAAGAGTCTTTCACTTGTGAGTAAAGAAATCAACTCAAGGAAGCTTAATTTTTAAAGGGTGCATTGGGAAGAGACAGGAGTAGCTCCTGACCTCCAGGTCAGGAGTTAGCTGGCCTCAGGCAAGGCCCAGCGGGGACTTGAAAAGCATCTGCCATTGTCTGGCAATTCCTGGGTTCTCCCCAGGCACTTGCCCTTAGGAGGGGTGTGTGTGTGTGTTTAAAGATTTTATTTATGTTTTTAGAGAGAGAGGAAGGGTGGGAGAAAGAGAGGGAGTGAAACATCGATGTGGGAGAGAAGCAGCGATCAGCTGCCTCTCGCACGCCCCCCACCGGGCGCCTAGCCACAACCCAGGCGTGTGCCTTGACTGGGAATGGCACCGACGACCTTTCAGTTCATGGGACCGCGCCCGGCCCACTGAGCTACACCAGTCAGGGCAGGAGGTGTGTAGGTTTAAATCCAGTTTATTTGTTTTTTGTTTGTTTGTTTTGGCTCCAAAAGCCGAGAGCTGGCCTTTGAAGTCCCAGGCAGCGGGGACTGTGTTCACCAAGCCCGTGGAAAAACAGGGTTCGCTATGAAAATAAAGCTTTCATTTGCCAAGGGAGCCTCACAGCATTCTCCCGCACACCCCGTACCCCTGCCCTCCTCCGCCTGGAAGAGGACGGCATCCAGCCAGGAGGAGAGTGCCGGGGCCTGAGGCTGAGGCCCCGCTCAGAGGTGTGCAGGAGGCTGGGCCGGCCCCTTCCGCCCCTCGCCAGCGATGGGCCGGCCTCGCTCTTCCCAGATGGTGAGGCCGTCGCAGGAGCAGATCTGCTTGGGGTTCTGGAAAAGGCCGGCGGAGCGTGCGATGATGCCACAGGCCAACCTGCAGACGAACACGTGGTCAAGAGCAGGCAGGCACTGCTCCGGGCCCCTCGCGGGTCTGGCTGGCAAAGCACAGCTTCCTGCAGGGGGCGGCATCACCCACCTCTTCCCTGAGTTCCCCGTGATCTTGGATAAGGGATGGCCTCCTCGGCCCAGGTCGTCTTCTCCCTCATCGATGACCAGGCTTCGTCCGATCACATCCCACACCTTGGAGGGGAGACAGAGCGGCCTCAGACAGCAGACCTATCTGGGAGGAAAGACCCTCATTTCCTTTCCCCCCTTACCTTCAGCTGCTCGTCCTCTATCCTGAAGGTGGCTCGGCCGTCGGCATCCGCATGGACGTTTCCTAGGTCTCCCCGGTGCTGCAATAAGACCGGGGGGCGGGGCGGGGAGAGCACATGGGGCATGGCTGCTAGGTTATGGCTCCCCAGTATCTGATTCCACTCCCCAAAAGTACCAGCGTCCTCCTGTGGGTGCAGTCAGGTAAAAGGAAGGGACGCCCAGGACACAAAGACGCCAACCAGAAGCTCTCTCCCTGGAGCTGAAATCCCGGGCGGAATGGCAGCACCGTGGAGAGAGCCCTGACCCCCTTCTAGGAAGCCATGCCCCCTGGACCAGGCTGTTTCTCCCTCGAGGTCGCTGCCCGGCCTGACACCCTGGCCTCGGAAGCTAGCACCGTCCCTGCTTCTTTCCAAGCCGGGTTCACCAGCCCCCTGATGACTCTGTGAGCCCCTGGCAGTCTGCAGTTCCCCCGGGCTTCGGCTGGCCATGCCTGGCTTCTTGGCCATCAGAGGCAGCCAGCATCCCTTCCCTGACGTCCTGCTTCCAGGAACAGAGAGAAGAGACACAAGGGACAAGGGGCCTGTCCTGCCTGTCCTCCCCTGCCCCCCGCAGAAGCTGGCTCTGTACACCTTCTCCCTGGAAGGCAATAAAAATGCTGCAACAAATCTACTGGGCACCTCCTAAATCAGACCCCCTCTGCCGGGCATGGGGTGCACACGCAGTCACCACCCTCTATGGGTTCGAGGCTCGGAGGGAGACAGATGCAGAACAGACGAGTGATGACGACACATGGGGTTGGGACGACAGTGAGTGTGTATTCTGGTGACAAGACCTTGCTGGTGGGTCACAGACTCACATCTGTGCAAATAAATCGTCCCCAACCTGACACTTCGGGCAGAAGCAAGTGCCTGTCCTGTGCCTGTGTGGGCTGGCACACAAGACCTTGCTGCAAAGCATGGTCACAAAGCACGTCACTGTACATACAATGGTCTGGACAAGCAGCCAGAAGAGCCACTTCTGCTTTACCCTGTTTCCCGGAGAGATTGCTGCCTACACCTGGTGCTTCTGTTATGCCCTGTGTTGGGACTTCTATGGTAGAAAGACAAGGAAGGGGCGGCAATGACACAGAGCCTTGAGAGTTCTCAGGACTTGGCTGAGGGAGCAGCAGCGGGCAGAGCAGCTCAGAGACATGCATGACTCAGCAGCACAGGGTCAGGAGAGGCAGCCTTTCCAGTCCCTCCCCTACACGAGGGTGGGCGGAGCCGGGCCAGTGGCCTTGAGTGCCGCACCCAGCAGCCTGGCCGGGCCCATACCACCAGGCACTGGACAGCCAAGGGGTTCAGGCACGGGCACGACATGGTGACCCCATGCTTTGGAGCAATCCCTTCAGTACAGTGTATGAAGAGAAAGGACCGGAGGGGGACAAGGAGAGAAGGGAAGGAAGCTGAGGGCATGTAGGGGACGTGCAACAGGACAACCAGGCTTGGACGTAAATTCCCACACTGAGCACATTCCCATGGGGCCCAAACCAGATGCTGAAATGCACAAGGAACCTGTCGGTCATCATGGCGGCCTTGGCCACGCAGCTCCTGCTCAGGTCCTCCTCTGTCTATATCGAGGGCTTGGGTACAATGGAATGGCTGGCTCCACCTCCTTCTGCTTCCCGGCCCTGAGAGGGGCCTAGGGCAGGGCATAGGTTGTAAGGTGGTCTCTTGCCCTTCTAAAGCCTCCACAAGAGACACGGGCTGCCAGCTCCCAGGTGCTCCTCGCTGGCTCGTGCCTCCAGGGCTCTGCCTGCGGTGTACCTCACCTGCCTAATTCTTGCTCGGCCCCTTTCAGGCATCGGTGAGGCAGACAGCCTCTAAGGTGCACCTCCCCCGTGTTCACATCCTTGTCTGCTCCGGGTGTGGGCTGAACCCGGTGTCGCTTCCAAGATTAGGTTACAGGGAAAGTGTGGCTTTCATCTTGGATGCTGTCTCTCACTTCCTCGCTCCGGGGAAGCCGGCTGCTGTGTTGTGAGCTGCCCTAGGGAGCGGCCCATGTGGCAAAGGACGGAGGTCTGGCCAACAGCCTGGGAGGCCCCCAGCCTGCCAACAGCAACGTGAGGAAGGGTGGGAGCAGATCCTCCCCGCCTCGGGCCTGGATGTGGCTGCAGCCCGGGAGGGGTCCCCAGCGACACGATGTGATGATAAATGCTTGTTGTTTTAAACCCCTAGGTGTGGAGTCATTTGCTTCACGGCAATAGATACACTTGAACACAAGCATGGCTTTCCTCCCACTTTGGGCTTGGGGGAGGAGGAGTAACAGCTTCTGACCATGAGAAATGTGACGGAACAGTCAAAAGTCCAAACAACCCGTTACAATGAGTTAGGACAAACACATGCCATGTTTTCATTTGTCTTGTGGCGGAAGAACGCAAGTGTTCATCCAGATAGAAAATAGAAACCAAGGAAGCCCGTGAGTCCTGGGGGTGTGGAGGGGAGCCACCCGCTCTCGGGACCAGGACCCAGGGCCAGCCTGGCACTGAATCCGGCAAAGGGGAAAAACACGCCACGGGAGAAGTGGAGGTGTTAGGTGTGTGAGGACAGAGCCCAGGGACACATCGAATCACAGGGAGCAGATGCCACCCTCCGGTCTGACAAAGTGACAATTTGGTGTTAACAGGTCTCTGACACCTCTCGCTATCACTTTAACAAAGATCAAGGGGACCTGCTCCATCCCTAGCTGGGCTCAGGACACGTTTTAAGCCCGCACTGATTTATTTCTACAATGATCCTCCCATTAAAGCTAGAAGTACTGGTTTTCCATTCTCTGTGAATATCAAGTTTCTCATTAAAAAAAAAAAAACAATCTACCTCCATTACATAAAATGTTGTCTTGTTTTGCTTCAACATAATAACGAAAGGAGGCCCAGTGGTGTTGGTGCAATGGGACTGGCCACGGGCGGTGGCTGCTGAAGCTGGGTAACAGGGACCTGGGGGTTCGGGATGGTAGTTTCTCTCCTCTGGAATGCCTGAAACTTTCTGTCATAGATGGAGGCACTAAAAATAACTATAATTCACCTAAGGGAAAAAAGTGAGTCCATTTAAATCAAAGCATTGAGTAACTAACAGAACAAGCAGTACTCAGGTAAGGCAAAAGTCATTAAGGCAGCATGTGACCTGCCCGTGGGGAAAACACTTCTCCAGTGAAAACGAAATTCCAGGACCAGGAGGAGGCGGAGCACCCGAATGGCCTGTGGAGTGCAGGGAAAACCTTCCATTTCTACGCTGTCACTTCTCTAGTGAGCTTTCCCACTGCCCGTGCCCCTCAGGCTGTGTTAGGGGCTGGCCCTCAGGCTGTGTTAGGGGCTGGCCCTCAGGCTGTGTTAGGGGCTGGCTCTGGGCCCCCAGGGCCCCCAGCCAGAGTCCTCTCGCTGTGCTGCAGCCAGAGTGCTCGGTGGTCTCCCCCACCCAGCTGTGAGCCCCTGGGGGCAGCCCCTGGCTGTAGAGAGTGTCAGTCAATGCTTGTAAATGGAACAAAATACGGTGAGGACCAAAAAGGAATCTCACTCAAAGGTTCCGAGAGCTGCCTGCCCTGCCTCTGAGACCTCGGGGCTCTGTCTCCACCCAAGCCTCACACAGCTGGACACTTACCCGGTCAGCGTCCTGGGGGCCCCCATGAGACATTCCATCAGGGTTAAAGTGGTCCCCGCAGCTAAGAATAAAAGGTAGCAGGTAGGCAGTGAAACAGAAGCCCACAGGGCAGGTGATCCATCCTCTTACTTTAATTATATTTGTTTCATTCATTCATTCATCCATCCACCCATCCATTCATTCAACAAGCATTCTGTGCCAGGCTTTGAGCTGAGGGCACTAAGAAGAATGGAGCCCTGGCTGGTGTGGCTCAGTGGACTGAGCACCGTCCTGCAAACCAAAATGTCACCGGTTCGATTCCTAGCCAGGGTGCAGCCTGGGTTGTGGGCCAGGTCCCTGGTTGGGGACACGCGAGAGGCAACCAATCAATGTATCTCTTGCACACTGATGTTTCTCTCCCTCTCCTTTTGCCCCTCTTCCCCTCTAAATATAAAGAAATAAAATCTTTTTTTTAAAGAAGAATCAAACATGGGTTCTGCTCTCAGTAAGCTTCTAGGGGAGACAGAAATGAGTAATCAACCAACAGCGTTGTGGCATGACAAACACCACGACACGGGGACCTGCCTTCCCCACATTCAAGAGTCACCCTCCATCTCCGAGGCAGCACGGTGGCTATGAGCAGGAACATCAAGGTCAGATTTTGGTTCAAATCCCCACTCTACTATTTACATGTTCTGGGGCTTCTGACAAGTCCTTTAACCTCTTTGACCCTCAGTTCCCTCATCTGTAGACTGGGCCTGTATGTACATGCCACACAGAGTACTTACGAGGACCGTAAAGTGTGAAAGTGTGCCTAAGGGCTGAATACAGCCTCCTACACATAGTGGGGACACAACTGGGGTGATGAGGATGCTGCAAGGGAGGTTACAGATGGCTTACCTATTGCAGTCCCTTGTGAGGTCCCCGAACTGATGGACATGGAGTCCGTGTGGCCCAGGCTCCAGGCCGTCAATGCTTCCCTCGATGATGCACTGCTCAGGACTGAGCTGCAGGAAGCGTACCACGCCCTGCACAGGGCCAGGTCCTCCTAGAATGGCCACTGCTGCCCCCAGATTCTCTGCAAGATAGGGGGCACCTGGGCTGGTGTGCCACCTCACCCAGCCCCACCCTTCCATCAGCTGGGGAGGGGCAAGGAGAGAGCCCCACAGTAACTTTCACACCTTCTCCAAAGCCTCTCCAACCCAAAGCCACAAAATCCTATGGTTAGATTTAAACCAGCCCCTGGCCGCCTCCCTCCCAGAAAGGCAAGGCCAAGGCCACGGTGGTTACTCACGCAAAAGGCCACTGCCCATGCCTTTGAGTACCGCCTGCCGCCCTGTTCCTTCTAAGAGGGCTTGCACCTCCTGGCTGGGCAGGGTGGTCTGCACCAGGACCGTCTGGTTCTCTAGCTGCACCTCTACACTCTGGACACCTGGGAGGAGAGAGAGGGCAGAGGGCAGCGGGGAGCTGGCAACCCTGCACTGGGGACAGGCAGGAGAGAGACAGAGCAGGTAACCCCCCTGTCCCCATCTACACCAACCTCCCACGGCTGGAGGCAGGCTTGGAAGCTGCCTTCCGCAAGGCCCTTGACCTCTCTGAGGCCGCTTCTTTGCAAATAAAGTGGGGATAGTGTCACCTCACTCCCAGGATTGTTCTGAGTCCTTAGTACACACCAGGCATTATTTATAACTTTGGAAACATAGATAATTCTTTTTAAAAATGTCTTTAGAAAAGCAGGCTATCAGACCCACATTGTTCATAATAGCCAAAGGTGAAAACAACCCAAATGCCCATCCACTGAGGAATGGATACACAACGTGCATTATTTCAGTACAACGAAGCACTGTTCAGCCAGAAAAAGGGATGAGGCACTGTTAGGTGCTACAACAAGGACGAACCTTGAAAACACTGTTGTGGGAAAGCCAATCACAGACGGCCGCATATTAGATGATGCCATTCGGGAAGAAATGTCCAGAATAGGCAAATCTATAAGGACGGAAAGTAGACCGGGGGTAGGGTCTTAGGAGGATGGCAACTAAAGCGTTCAATTTCTTCATGAGCTGGTGAAATATAAAATGGATAGTGGTGATGACTGTACAACTCTGTGAATATACTAAAAGCCACTGAACTGTATGTTTTAAAGGGGTAAATTTTGTGATACGTGAGTTATCCCTCAATAAAGCTCCTATCACCATCATCATGAGGAACGACATTTTCTGAGTATGTGCTGTGGGCTTTTTCATCCTTTATCTGAAGTAACTCCTTCCATGCTCAAGCAATCCTGTGGGAAACGAAGAAACTTGCTCCAAGTCACACTGTAGTAACTTCTGGGACCTGCTAGGGTTCCTCCCAGGCACCCCAGCTCCGGAGCCCAGGTGCTTCCCCTGGACGCTGCTCACCTGACAAGCAGCCCCCAGCCTCCGGGCAGGTTGGGACCCCTTCCTCTGCCCTCGAGCTGCCACTTCCCTGCGTAATTCACACTGCACTGATCCCAGCCCTCTGTGCGGGCGCAAGGCCTGTGTGTTCCACAAGGGTCAAGTTCAAATGTCAGCGTGTCTCAATTGGCCCCCAAATCCCAAAGTCACCACTGTGTGTGCGCAGCCGGTGGGACAATTCTGACGCACCCTCAGCTTTGAGGAACATCGAGCCAACTCAAAGAAGGATGAGAGGGGCCTCTTTCCTTTGGGTATTTGGGGCTCCCAGGCCTTTTAAGAGAACTCTTGAATCCTCAGCCAGTTCAGAGGAGACGGGCTAGAAACTCTAGATGCTGCTCTTACCTGGAGGGCTAATAATCATTCTGGGTTGATCTCAGTGTGTTTGCTGCGCTGCAGAGTAAAGCCCAGGGGAGCCGTGGGCAGGCCAGGAGACACGGGTTAAATGTGGTGTTCAGCTAGCGCTCTGTGAACTCGGCGCTACACTGACTGCTGGCCTTCCCTTCAACCTTGGGTTCCCTGCTACATATTCTTTCAACGAATGTGTACTTGGCGCGGAGGAGGCCAGGGTCGGGGAAAGCGCTGGTCCTAGTCCTCAGGGAGCTCACAGGCTGTGGGAGAACTCAGACTACGCCTGGGTGAACCATCAGGCAGAGAAGAGAATAACAATTCCCAAGGTACAGACCAGGTGCCTCAGCTGTTCAGATTCCTCCCTGCTTAAAGGAGGCAAAACTGGGAAGTGCTCCTGGGAGGGGGCAGCACCTGAGAGACGGGAACCTCTGGCTGTGGCTACACAGGTCTCATTGGCTTGCTCCTTCAGACCCCCCCGCAGCGTGCTTGACCCTGCTGGGAGCAGGCAGAATGCGTGCGAGATCAGGCGGGCAGGCCCGTCTCCTCCCCTGCAGGAACAAGGCAACCCTGGGAGCATGTGAGATCTTGCTTCCCAGCACATTGCGTCATCAGTTTGACTCAAACTCATGACAATTCTCTAAAAAAAAAAAAAGGAATGAGGCAATTCTGTGAGAAGGAAACCCTCCCAATAACCAAACTGTGCCTCCCTTCACACAACGTCTCATCCTGGGCCACCCAGCAGCCTGCGATGCCTTGGAGCTCTGGGTCCATGAAGAGGTGCCTCTTGATGCGAAGGGGCTGCCGGGAGGGAGGACGGACGGCGGGGAACTCTTGTGGCCTGAGCCTGCAGCGTGTGGCAAGAGCTGTGCGCTCTGCTTTACACCCATCAGGACGGTGACACCGTCCTCACGTGGCAGGTGAGAGCAAACGAAGCTAGACACTCACACAACTGGCTGGAGGTCGCAACGCTTGGAAGGCCTCTGGGAATATATCCGAAGGAACCCCAAACAGGAATCGAAAGAACATAAGCACCCCTGCGGTCATTGCAGTTGCGGCGTTATTTACAATCGCCCAGACTGTCCATCAGCAGATGAAGGGAGACACCGACCATCGGGCATTTACACGATGGAATTCTACTCGGCCATAAAAAGGAAAACTTTACCTTTACCACAGTTATCGACAGACTTGAACTTAAGACTTTAATTTTAATGCCATGGGAAGCCACTGGGAGAGGCCGTAGGGGACAGTGGTGGGGAGTGTGGGCTCTGGAGTTGAAATCCTCAGTCTGCTACATACTAGCTGTGTGGCCCTGGACAAATTACTCAACATTTCTGTTGAACTTTCTATTCAGATTCTTCACACGCAAATGGAGAGTGTAATACTATCTACTTCAGGGGGTTATCGAAGACATAAATGAGTTATTCATATATAGCACTTAACACTGTGCCCAGCCCATGGGAAGCTCTCAAACATTATTACTTCTAGAAGATTCTACACAGGGCAGCCACGTTATCTAATGTGTGATTGCGAAATCACTCTTGCTTTTCTTTTTCTTTTAATATTCTCACGTGAGGACATTGTTTTCCATTGCTTTTAGAGAGAGAGAAAGGGAGAGAGAGAGGCGTCAATGAGAGAGAAGCATCAATCAGCTGCCTGCCCCATGTGCCCAGGCTGCATGTCACCACCAGCGATCGCACGCGCCCAGACCCGGGATCATATGTGCCCGGACCGGGGAATAGAACCTGCAACCTGCTTTGATGCTCCAACCAACTGAGCCATATGGCTGGGGCTCCCTCTGGCTTCTACATGGAAAAGCGACCAGAGTGGGCAACAGAGGTGACAGAGCACCCAAAAATAAAGCTCTTGTTTGGGTCTGGGAGAGGTGAGGTGGCTTGGACTGGTGTGAAGGCCAAAGTACGGGAAAAGAGAGGCTGGATTCTGAGTATGTGTCAGACACACAGTAGACAAAACTTGACGACAGATGAGCTTCGGGGCAGGTGGGTGCCTGATCTGGGGTCTCTTAAGAAGAACTGACTCTCTGCTCCCGTAGTGGGGGGGCTCCAAGTGGGAAGCTCTTTGTGACTGCGCACTTCCTGAGCCTCCGACCTGAGTCTGAACCCAGAAGCTGGCCCTCCAGCTGTGCAGCAGTTCGGTTTGGCTGGTGAAGCCCAGAGTGTGGCCGAGCCAGCCCTGGTTCAGCTCAGAACCCAGTGAGAGAGAAAAGATAAGCCCTCAGTGCACGCCAGAGTGTGTGATAAGCATTCAAAAAAGTGGGCCTTGGGCTGGGAGTTCCTCCCACTTACACCTAGAAGGGGAACACAGCTCGATTCTCCAAAGCCCCAGGCCACCGGAAAGGGCAAATTCCTCACCCCTCTCAGCCCATGAAAAAAGCCAAGCTGGTTCCAGTTACCCAGAACAGAAAATGTAGCCACCAGAGGTGTTTTACTGTGCCTAAGAAATCTGCTGAGGATGAAAAACTGCTGCGTCCAACAAGAAGTCGAGCTGTTTGCTCTCCCAGCAAGAATGGTTTACAGGAAGTGGGGAGCCCAACCTTCTCAGAAACCTTTGGTCAGAGCACTGCACCCGCGGCGGGATGGCTCAGTCTTCTGAGACACTCGCCCATCATCCCCAAACGCACAGCAAATCCAACTTCAAGACTGTACTTTCCTTCCTCCACCTAATCGGATCACCACCTGTAAGCCCTTCCTCTTACAATTCCCAAGATTCACTGTGTTCTCACCTCATGCCAAACACTTTTCTAAAGTGCTAATTGTAACTAATTTCCTCTTCAGGACAATCCTCCAGAGTAGCTTCCATGATCATGCCCAATGAAACACTAAAGAAACAGAGTCACAGCCCTGGCTGGTGTGGCTCAGTGGACTGAGCGTCGGCCTGTAAACCAAAGGGTCGATGGTTGGATTCCCAGGCAGGGCACATGCCTGGGTTGCAGGCCAGGTCCCCAGTGAGGGGCACACGAGAGGCAACCACACAACTGATGTTTCTCTCCCTCTCTTTCTCCTTCCCTTCCTCTCTCTAGGTAAATAAAATCTTAAAAGAAAAAGAAACAGAGGCACAAAAACTTGCATACCTAAGGTTCTAGTGCCATAAAGAGGGGATCTGAACCCAAACAGTCTAACTCTAGAGCACATACCCCTAACAGCTATGACACACTCTGCCCTACACTGAGCCGAGTGCCACCACTGTCCCAGCTTTAGAACCCATCTAACCTCACCCCTCCCCAGACCTGCCCTTCCAGGAGTGATGCTTGTGTGCTCATCTTTACCTAAGGCAGGGATGTGCCTGAAACACGTGTGAACTCTTCTCCCTAAAAAGCCCCCAGTGCCTGGTCTATAGCTCCTGAATGACTTGACGAACATTTAACAGAATCAAAGAAAGGTGGTTCCCGGTGCCGTGCTGGTGGCTCTGCCTTCTCAGATCTTTCCAGCTGTGCCAGGTCACCTCCAGGCCAGCTAGCTAGCTGACTTTTAAGGGCCAGGAGCTGCCTAGGGTGAGACATGGCCAGGGCTGGTGTTTGCTTTATCAAGATTATGCTGTTTCACAAGCAAAACGTGCTTGTTTTTCAGGGAACTCCTTCTGTAGGCAAGGCTATATTCGGTCTAGCCCCTTACTCTCCAGGCATGTGAGGCTTAAGACACCAGAAGGACAGGCGGTTGCTGGCAGGGCAGGCTTGAGACCTGCAGTCCAGGCTCTGCCTCTGGGGCTCTGTGTGACGCTGAGAACAATCTCCTCTTTCTGGGTCTCAATTTCTACATCTCTTAAATGGGAGTACGGTCGGTCAAAGAGATTTGTCTACCTGTCCCAGGGGCTTCTGGACGGTCCACAGAAAATCTGTTTGGCTCCTACCTGCCACTCCTTGCAGGGACTTGCGCACCGCGTCCACACAGCTCAGACAGGTCATCTGCACCGCGAACTCCAGCTGCAAGGGCGGCAGGTACCGACCGATGAGAGATGGGTACCCCTCTTGCATGACCCTGTTTCACTACTTCCCCTACGACTACCCCAAAGGCCTGGGGAAACGCCCCACGTGACTCCTCCTGAAGCGCCTTCTTCATTATCACTCATTTCAGGACCAACACCTTCCAACATTAACGCCAAAAACCCTGCTACTCTCGCACTCTTTTCATGCTGGAGCCTCAGGCCCCGCCCCTGGCGCCCGCTTCTTCCCCCCTTCTCGTGTTAACGATCACCCCTAGGGGTCGAGGCTAACTGCCCTGCTAGGCTCCCACAAGAGGCTTCGAACCTCACCGTGCAAGCGGTCCCACGGTCCCCCGAGTCCGATGCCATCCTGAATGCAGTCACTGGCCAGAGGACGCGAACAGACGGATTCTTGTAGCGTAACCCCAGTGCACAGTCGCTAGGAGGCTGAGCCTCGTTAGCCAGGCGTGCCCCGCCCCCTGGTGCGCGCGCACGCAAGACCTTGCCCTCTTCGCCCCGCCCGCGTCAACAAAGGTCTGCATTCGGCGAACTTAGGCAGCGCAGGCGCACTCTGGCCATTTGGTCCCTGGTTCCCTTAGTAACCGCTCGGCCGCCTCGGGTCTCACAACGGGCTCCGCCAGCGCTAAAATGGAGCCTTTTAAACCAGAACGCGAGCTCCAGCAGTGTTACCACCGGTTGCTGCGTCCGCTGTCGCTCTTCCCCAGCAGAACGCGCTCACAGTCTCAGAAGCGCCTCCTGCAGGAGGTCCCGATGCTACCGTCCCTGCCCGTCTCGCGGCTGACGGTGGCGTCGCTGTGCCGCCAGGTGGCCAAGCGGCTGGCCAGCTGTGGGCTGGAGGAGCAGATGCCTCCTGAGGGCCGACACCGTTTCACAGAGGTCATTTTGGACGAGCTGAAGTGCAGCTGGCGGGAGCCTCCCGCTGAGCCTAGTCTGAGCCACCTGAACAACCAGAGGCTGCGGAAGCGGCTCCTGGTTTACGTGCTGCTCAGCTGCGAGCGGCTCTTCTTATGTTACCTGCACCTGCTGAAGACCAGGTCGACCTCCACTTATGTCTTCACTGAATCAGCCACGCTCACCCGGCTGGCCGCCAGCCTCGCCAGGGACTGCACGGTGTTCCTCACCAGTCCCGAGGTCTACCGTGGCCTGCTCGCTGATTTCCGCGCCCTGCTCAAAGTAGAGGAGGCCCAGGGCGGCATATTAAAGCTGCGCGCCTTCAGCCCCCCTGGGGCTGTCAAACCACCTCCTCACAGCGCCCGCTTGCCCCAAATGCCATGCTGCCACCTCAACCTGAACTATCTCATCCAGCTCAGTCGCTCGCCAGAGTTTTTCGGAGAACCTGAACCCGACCCAGTGAAGGAACTGAAGTCCATCCCCCAGCTGAAGAGGAGAAAGGCTCTCCCCTGGCTGTACGCCATGCAAAAGAAGAAAGCCAGCCTCACTTCCTCACAGACCGAGTCGCAGCCTGGGGGCCCCGTAGCTCTCACCAGTGGGTCTCCCCTCACCTCCCATTTACTTCTCTACTCCCAGCTCCAGAAGAGCCAGTCCATGCCTTCTCTGCGTGAGGGCTGGACGCTAGCAGATGAATTGGGTCTTTCTTCACTCTCCCCTCGTCCTGTAACCCCGTTGGTCCTGTTTGCAGAGAGCAAACCAGAGCTGGTGGGGGACATGGTGGCCGAGGACCTGAAGCAGATGATGAAGAACATGACATTGGAGTGGACTCCCTACTCACCAGTAGACTCAGGCATGCCCCCACTCCTGGGGGCCCAGACCCACCACTCGGCTGCAACACATCCCATGGAAGAGCTCCAGAGAATGTTGAATGAGGAAGGAGAAACCTCTGGGCATTGGGGTCCCCAGTCCTCCAAATCCCCTCCACTCCATCCACAGCCAGTGACTGTAACTCTGAAGCTAAGAAATCAGGTTGTGGTCCAGGCAGCTGGTGTACAAGTCTCGGAGAGAAAGTTTTTGGATTCCTTCCACGTTGAGGAGACCGGAGCCCTATACAACCACCTGGCTGGTGAACTGGACCCCCACCTGATCGAGAAAATGGATGTTGATCGCTTTTTTGGTAATAGCATTAGGGAGGTCTACAAGGAGTTGATGAGCAGTGTCTCTACTGACCACTTGTCTTTTGACCAGGGACCCCTGATTGAGCCTGCAGCCAGTAAAGACTGGTCCATGTTCCTGGTCTCAGCCTTTCTGCGTCAAGAACAGCAGTATCATATCATCAACCCCAAGCTGGCTGGTCTTTTCCCCCACAGACCAAACACTTTACAGTCCAACCCCGAGAGGACGTCCTCCCTCCCATCACTCCAAGCAGGCAAAGGCTGGGAGGCGCCATCAAACAAGACCACAGGGGTGACCTGGTGGAAGGCCACCCTGTCTGTGGATGACTATTTCAAGTACCTCACCAACCAGGAGACAGACTTCCTCCATGTCATCTTCCAGATGTATGAAGAGGAGGCTCCCGTGGAGATCGTAGCCCCTGCCAGAGAGTCCCTGAAGATTCAGCCCCCACCTCCGCTGCAAAAAGATGAAGAGCCAGACTTCATGCCAGGAGAGTGGGATTGGAACACAGTGCTGGGGCACAGTCTAGAAACTAAGAGGTCCAACCTCCTGGGAGAACCCCTCAAAATCCTCAGCCTGCAGAAGCGTCTGGAGCGGTTGTGGTCCATGCTTGAGGTTCCCAGCAAGGACCGGTTGGACATGGCCATCAAGTACAGCTCCAATGCCCGTCTGAGGCAGCTGCCTTCATTGGTGAGCGCCTGGGAGCAGACCCTGCAGCCCATTCAGCGGCGGGAGATGTGGCTGGGGAAACTGGAGTGGTTTGAGCGGCAGGCTTCCGACCCCAACCGTTTCTTCCAAAAGACTGACTCGGAACTGAGTCGCTTCCTGGAGGAAAATCACATCCGCGACCATCTACACAGGAAGCTCAATCTAATGGAGGCCCCTTTGGTTTCGCTCCTGAAGGAGGTTGAATTAATCTTTGGTGAGCCAGTGACCTTCAAGGGCAGGCCTTACCTGGACAAGATGAAGCGTGACAAAGTGGAGATGCTCTACTGGCTGCAGCAGCGGCGGCGGGTGCACCACCTGGTCCGGGCGTGGAAGGCCTCCCACCAGTCAGCCAGGATGAGGAGGCTCGGCAGCCCACCGTTAATAGCCCCTGGGAATAGTCCCAGGCCAAGTGCCCTCAAATCCCTCCCTTGCCCCCCAACACCCCGCGGCTCCACCCAGACCTCTTGACGGCTTTGCAAGAAGAAATATCTGGGAGCGCAGGCTTCAGGAACACTGCGCTTCCCACTACCGAGGGACTGAGACCAACACTCTATTCTGACCGTGCCGTTCTCATCAAAGAGTCCCCAAGACCAGTGTGCCCATTTATGTCAAGCTGAGCACAATGCAGCCAAAATCTCATGTTTCAAAAGAACCGAGACCATTGCTTGGAGTTCACTGTAATGAGAAATATCAGACAGAGCCAAACTGCCACCTTTGGAAAACCTGGGCATGTTTTTCACGCTGCATTAAACCGGCTGATGGAGCTCCAAATCAAATGGCTCTGTGACGTAATGGTTAGGGGCTAGGGCTCTGCAGTGAGTAAATCTGAGTTCAAACCCCGGCTGTGTAACCTTGGCCACATTACTTACCCTCTCTGCACCTGGACCATCATATGTCAGGTGAGGAGGGGTCGAGTCTAGGTTGTCACTTCTTCTAGTTCTAGCATAAAAATGTGATTGATTTTTTTCTTACCAGTTAATGCAAGCACATGGTACAAAGCACACGGTACAAAGCACACAATGGTTTGTCCTGAAAAGTCAGTTTCCTTTCCGTCCTTACCTCTAGAACCTCAGCTCCCCTGCCTGCGGGGAACAGCTGTTACCAGGTTCCTGTGTATCTCTCCATTCCCTTAGTCAGTGAATCATTGTTTAGTATCTACTAGTTATTTTATGCTTGGCTTATATCACTGAACAAGACAAAAATTCTTACCCTCTGTAGAGTTTACATTCTACTGGCGGGAAATAGACAATAAACCATAAACACAGCCCCTAAGTGCACTGAGTGATAAAATATTAGCAGGTGATGAGTACTGTGGAAAAAAGAAAAAGTGTAGGGTACGAGGAAATAAAGGATGAGGGTGTGGCTTTAATGAGGGCAGTCAGTATACGCCTCAGTGAGAAGGTAAGATGTGAGCAAAGGGTTGAAGGAAGGGAAGAAATGAACCCCACAGACATCTGGGACAAAAATGTAACTGACAGCCACTGCAAAACCCTAAGGCAAGTGGATGCCTGGGGTGTCTCAGAAAAGCAAAGTGGCTGGTGTCACCAGTGGGGCAGAGCTGGGGGAAAGATGAGTCAGAGGTACCAAGAGGCAAGTTAAATTATGTGAGGCGTCATAGGTCAGCCAGTGGTCTAGTTCAGAGATAGCCTACATACATAAGAGCACATGTGTATGTATTGCCTATACGTATGTTTATAACCACAGCAATGGAAGCATGCGGTACCCATTTTGCTTCTTTCTTTTCTCACGTAACATGCCTCGAAGGCATTCCATATCAATACACATAGAGCTGCCTTATTCTTTTTGATAGCTATATAGTATTCCACTGAGTATATTTTTATTTTATTAAACTAGCCCTTTATTATGGGGCCTTTAAAAATAAAAAACAAAGCCCTAAAAACATCCTTGTTCCTCTACTTAGGATTGTAACCATTTCTATTATTTAAATTCCTGGAAGTAGAATTATGTTTAAGCATAAGCATTTGTAATTTTGATAGAACTTACTGACTACTCTCCACACTTTGCATTATCATCAACATCATATGACTATACTTCTTTCCCCACTCTCACAATACAGCAATATCAACATTTTTAATCTTTACCATCTAATAGGTGAAAAATAGTATCTTATTTGAGTTGTGTTCTCATTTCTTTTATGAGTGGAGTTGCATCTTTCATATATTTACAAGCTATTTTTATTTCCTTGTCTATAAAATACCTATGGCTTCTGCCCGCTTTTCAATTGATTTTGACTACTTTGTTTTCTTGATTTTTCAACACTCTTTGTATATGCAAGAAATTTAGCCAACATGTTAGCAGTTACCTTGTGCAGAACACTTTCCTTGCATGATTTCTCAGACTCCTCATAATCACCTGTAAAGTAGGATATATTTAATTTTTAAAAAATATTTTATTTATTTCTTTTTAGGCAGAGGGGAGAGGAGGGAGAAACAGAGGGAGAGAAACATCAATGTGTGGTTGCCTCTTGTGCCCCCCACTGGGGACCTGGCCCACAACCCAGACATGTTCCCTGCCTGGGCATCGAACTGGTGACCCTGTGGTTTGCAGGCTGGCACTCAATCCACTGAGCTACACCAGCCGGGGCTGAAGTAGTATATATTTTAATCACCATTTTACAGCTGGGGAAATGAAGGCTCAGGTAGGTAAAGTAACTTACCTGGGGTTCATAAACGTAGTATATTGGAGAACCAGGACCCCAGCCC